GAATTTCTTGGGGAGTACGGTACTCTGCACGGTACTCATTCTTTTCCATTTCTGTGTCTATTTGGACCCCTATTACATTCAACTGGCTGTCACTAAAATACAAACGGCGTCAACAGACTAAATATACTTGCAATGAACTACACAAACAATGTACTACATTGACTAGTTCACTTTGTTTATTTGATAGTTAGTCAGGCTTAGAACTTTTAGACCAGGCCTCATTCGAGGGCGTCCAGTCGCACCTACAGTCAACTGGTTACAGACAGGTGGTGGCGTTCCGATGTTTACTAAAATTATTTAGTCTCGGCAACTTATACCTCTGTAGATTATTAATACCCCCTTTTGATTCAATACCCTCTTTAGCTCAGGTCATCCGTGTATTAGAACTGACAAGTCTTACTGTTAATTGTTTACTTAAATCCTTAATACTGATAACAGTATTTGTGTCCGACTTTGGTCAGTTGTATGCTCATCATCGCCTTGATTGAGTATTACTCTTTTACCTTGTCATAAGTATTACCTTGATTGTTTGCCTCGTGTTAATAAATCCTTAATCAATCAGTTGGTTTGTCAATGTCAAGGCTCTCGCCCTGTCCAGTTGATGTCATCGTGACATTGATGTCATTGTTTTAATTGCTCGATCAGAAGAAAAGCTCAATGAATAAATGACAACTTTGCCTTAACGCTGACAAGTCCAGTATTGTGCACTTGAGTGAGTGAGTTAATATTTAAAGTCACATCGGCAGTATTGCAGCCATATCGTGACTTGTGCACTTGAGAAAGGAGGGTACTGATCGTTCATATGTACAGTTCGTCTGTAGCAATGTGACCTTAACTTTGTAGAATCCTACAAGTACCTAGAACACTGGTTCATTTAACATTACATATTAAATATGTAGGGGAATTTGCAAAAAGTGCAAGTAGAGCGTTGTCACCTTTTAAACGTCAAATACAGAATGGTGACATGACCTATAATGTTTACATAAAACTGTAGGAGCGCTGCGTACAAGCTGTCCTTCTATATTGTGACTCTACATGGGGGATATACGGTCATCGTGAAGCAGCAATTTACAGCACAGAGCTGGTAGGTTTTTCCTCTGTGTTCCCCGAAATACATCCAATCTTGCCACCCACGGCGAAAACCAACCTGGATATTTGCAGCTTCCATGGCTTTAAACAAGCTGCTACAATCACCCAGTCATGACTCAGATTAATGCATTTACAGTAAACTACGTTTATAACGAACACGCTTATGACGAACTGAGGGATATAACGAACTGGTTTTTGGTCCCGTCCATTCGCTGTTTTTATGTTGAAAATATGCTTTTAACGAACTACGGTTATAACGAATTAAACTCAGTGGTCCCTTTGAGTTCGTTATAACCGTAGTTTACTGTACATCCAGAATCCGTATTCTCATTTCGAGCCAGAACTTCAAATCGGAGTGCAAAGATCGCTTCTTTCGGTCGAAAACCATACCTCCGAATCCAGGAGCACTTACGTTCCTTGTACGTACAGGAATCTGGTTTCACCTGGAACACTAGACGCTGCACTTCTTGACAACCACCACGACGAGGCTATTCTTGAACAAAACGGATCATTCAACAGGACACTGGTAACACGGTTCACTGGTCCCCTACATGATCAGAGGAATGGAAGCGTATGCAAAGGAAATGCATCCAAATATGTTAAACATTTTAGGTGATTGGGAAAACTTTGATGAACACTTCGCCAACAAATCCAGATAAGGATTTGCATGTCGGGAATACCCCTGTGGTATTTGTCAAAGATGCCCTCGGCTAGTTTATTTTTGCCATGTTAGTTTTGTTAACTGTTATTCTTTCTTTAAAATGACATCCAATTTCAGAACGGGTAAAATGACATTATTAAGGATATCAGCAATTTCGGTGTTACAAGATTTTGATGGCTAAAACATTAATTTTTACTAAATTAAAAAAAAGATCTTCGATGCCACTGTCTTAATGAAGAGCCATCAGACTGACACATCCGTGAAAATTTGTGGGAAATACCGTGGAAAATCATTTTATAGCGAAGTAATCAGTACTCAACACTAACTGGTGATTATAAAGTAAAGTAAAGTAAACTAGAAAGTATAGTTTAGAAGATATAATCCCAGACAAGAACACCCTTACACATATTCAAGTTAATCACGTTTCCATGGAAAGCGCTTATAATAGAAAATATATTAAGTATTAATTAGCAAAAAGACACGAATACTCACCTTCATTGATTAGTGTCTAAGGTTTTCTGAAACTAGCGATAACTGGTATAAAGTACGAAATATGCTCCTAACGGGGAAGAGGCTGAACAAATGCAATACCCGACTTCAAAATCGATTTTAAAAAGACGTAAACAAATACATGTTGGGATGTTTCTGAAAATTTATATCTATTCCGACGATGTATAAAATAACATGTTTAACGAGCCAGTGTCATTAGACCAACACTATACTGCCAGTGTCACCTGACCAATACTATACTGCCAGTGTCACTGGACCAATACTATACTGCCAGTGTCACTAGACCAATACTATACTGCCAGTGTCACTAGACCAACACTATACTGCCAGTGTCACTAGACCAATACTATACTGCCAGTGTCACTAGACCAACACTATACTGCCAGTGTCACCAGACTAACACTATACTGCCATTGTAACCAGACCAACACTATACTGTCAGTGTCACTAGACCAACACTATACTGCCAGTGTCACTAGACCAATACTATACTGCCAGTGTCACAAGACCAACACTATACTGCCAGTGTCACTAGACCAACACTATACTGCCAGTGTCACCAGACCAACCCTATACCGCCGGTGTCACTAGACCAACACTATACTGCCAGTGTCACCAGACCAACACTATACTGCCAGTGTCACTAGACTAACACTATACTGCCAGTGTCACTAGACCAACACTATACTGCCAGTGTCACTAGACCAACACTATACTGCCAGTGTCACTAGACAAACACTATACTGCCAGTGTCACTAGACCAACACTATACTGCCAGTGTCACTAGACTAATACTATACTGCCAGTGTCACTAGACCAATACTATACTGCCAGTGTCACTAGACCAACACTATACTGCCAGTGTCACTAGACCAATACTATACTGCCAGTGTCACAAGACTAACACTATACTGCCAGTGTCACTAGACTAACACTATACTGCCAGTGTCACTAGACTAATACTATACTGTCAGTGTCACTAGACCAATACTATACTGCCAGTGTCACTAGACCAATACTATACTGCTAGTGTCACAAGACCAACACTATACTGCCAGTGTCACTAGACTAACACTATACTGCCATTGTCACTGGACCAACACTATACTGCCAGTGTCACTAGACTAACACTATACTGCCAGTGTCACTAGACCCACACTATACTGCCAGTGTCACTAGACCAACACTATACTGCCAGTGTCACCAGACCAACACTATACTGCCAGTGTCACTAGACCAATACTATACTGCCAGTGTCACTAGACCAATACTATACTGCCAGTGTCACAAGACCAACACTATACTGCCAGTGTCACTGGACCAACACTATACTGCCAGTGTCACTGGACCAACACTATACTGCCAGTGTCATTTGACCAACACTATACTGCCATTGTCACTGGACCAACACTATACTGCCAGTGTCACTAGACTAACACCATACTGCCAGTGTCACTAGACCAACACTATACTGCCAGTGTCACTAGACCAACACTTTACTGCCAGTGTCACCAGACCAACACTATACTGCCAGTGTCACCAGACCAACACTATACTGCCAGTGTCACCAGACCAACACTATACTGCCAGTGTCACCAGACCAACACTATACTGCCAGTGTCACTAGACCAACACTATACTGCCAGTGTCATTATACCAATACTATACTGCCAGTGTCACCAGACCAACACTATACTGCCAGTGTCACCAGACCAACACTATACTGCCAGTGTCACTAGACCAACACTATACTGCCAGTGTCACTATACCAATACTATACTGCCAGTGTCACCAGACCAACACTATACTGCCAGCGTCACTAGACCAACACTATACTGCCAGTGTCACTATACCAATACTATACTGCCAGTGTCACTAGACCAACACTATACTGCCAGCGTCACCAGACCAACACTATACTGCCTGCGTCACCAGACCAACACTATACTGCCAGCGTCACCAGACCAACACTATACTGCCAGCGTCACCAGACCAACACTATACTGCCAGCGTCACTAGACCAACACTATACTGCCAGCGTCACCAGACCAACACTATACTGCCAGTGTCACTAGAGCAACACTATACTGCCAGTGTCACCAGACCAACACTATACTGCCAGTGTCACTAGACCAACACTATACTGCCAGTGTCACCAGACCAACACTATACTGCCAGTGTCACCAGACCAACACTATACTGCCAGTGTCACCAGGCCAACACTATACTGCCAGTGTCACCAGACCAACACTATACTGCCAGTGTCACTAGACCAACACTATACTACCAGTGTCACCAGACCAACACTATACCGCCGATGTCACTAGACCAACACTATACTGCCAGTGTCACCAGACCAACACTATACTGCCAGTGTCACTGGACCAACACTATACTGCCAGTGTCACTAGAGCAACACTATACTGCAAGTGTCACCAGACCAACACTATACCGCCGGTGTCACTAGACCAACACTATACTGCCAGTGTCACCAGACCAACACTATACTGCCAGTGTCACTAGACCAACACTATACTGCCAGTGTCACCAGACCAACACTATACTGCCAGTGTCACTAGAGCAACACTATACTGCCAGTGTCACCAGACCAACACTATACTGCCAGTGTCACTAGACCAACACTATACTGCCAGTGTCACCAGACCAACACTATACCGCCGGTGTCTTCGCCCAATCCCTACTGCCACCATCGACCTCCCCAGACGGTGATACCATCCCAAACACTAGTCCACATGCACAACTCAATAGTACGCTGACAGATATTGTATGACGCCATTAGTGGGATTTCCCAAAGCTTGACCTTGAAGGAATCCCTGATCACTGGACGTAGCTGCGTCAAGGCCTGTCTTTCGCGATCAATACAGCACCCAGTTTCCTTGCAGGAACACTACACTGATCCCGCTAGCGTCGTCTGCTCGTGTTGTGCACGTCGGTGCTGAGAGGGAACGGACCCGACATACAGTAAGCAACATGCTCACCGAACTGAGACGTAGTAACGTGCGACTGATTGCCTTGTGCGTATTCTATGTTCTGTTCCTTATCATCGGAGCAGCGATATTCGCAGCAATAGAAGGCCCTCGAGAATCAAGCCTGGTCAAGCATCTCCAGACTGTCAGAAACACATTCCGTGCGTCCTATCAACACTGCCTGTCAGGTAACACTCTCTCATTTCAGATTCCATGTTATTAAATCATTCTCACACAACACAGACACCTCCAAAAGAGGTTACGCTTGAAAACAGCGGCACATGATGCTACCATATGGTGGGCTGGTGGAAGGTCAATGAGAACGGCCAGCAGCAGTCCTCGACCAGGTCTAGCAGACTGGTGATTGGTGATTCAGTCTGACGGTGCCTGTCTCTGCATGACTTGTGTCAGCTTCTGTTTGCATTATCTTGTTTATTGGACATTTGTGGGCATCTGTAAGGCCGTGGCAACACTTACTATGGCGAAACACTGTTTCCTAGACTATCAAACTAGCTGGCTCTCCTTTTTATGTTGGAGAAATGTCAGCACTATATTCGTAGCGATTAGGCAGTCATTATTCGGTCATTTCATAATCAATGGTAAAATAACAGACGGAAAGTATATTCACCAGCTTCTGGCGCAGACGTCAAACTGTGGAAGGTGTCGGCTAAATGTCCCCGACTCATTGAAGTATATAGTTTATGGTTAGGTAATTACCGAATTACCGATATCAGCTGTAGCTGTGATGTCCCGGGATTAACAGTTTTCTGTAGCAGTCATCCATTCTCTGTGTCCCCGGGGTATTTACCAATTGTTGTACCAATTGGTAATGATTCAATAGAAACGAGTCTAAAGTTCACAATGGCGTTATCATAAAAAAGACGATTTATTCTCATGTCAAAGAGATTTGTGTTATTGCATGGGAACAATCGATTTAGTTAATGCCAAGGGTAACTGTGGCGCGAGGAAGGGACGGGCGTGGCCGATGGGGTTGTATTCCACCCCGGCCTGTGTTCCGTTTGTATTCTCCAGGGTATCCTTGCCACAGTCATGTTTGAACCGCGCAAATTGTTATTATTAATATTAGCCACATACTGACAATGAAAGTATTTTCAGGAAATGCGCGATACATTTGAATCCTACACTATGATGTTATATACGATACCATCTGATATCAGATACATATACAACACGAATCATATTGTTCATATGTATATGTTACACCTAATCTGTGCAACTGCACATTGCGTGCATTGGGCAGGCCGTTTGCCCAATGCGTGCAATGGGCAAACAATTATCTGCGTATTGCATGCAATGAGCAATAGCTGTGAATGAAAAGTAATTATCCAAATAGTTCACAATATGGGCAACCAGCTTGCTCATTTCACGCAATAGGCAGGTAATTGTTCTGTCCAAAGCAGCAATTGAAATTGGTATTGTTTTACATGTTTGGTTTTAAATAAAGTAAACTCTGTTATTAAGTGAATAAACTGTAATAAATAACATCCAAACAAATATGTGATCTTAAGACTCGGTGAATAGATCCTTATAAAATAACTTTGTCCTTTTGACTTTTGTGAATAAGAGTTTAAAACTCATACACGTCACTGTCAATTGAAAGCATTGGGCAAGCTGGGCAAAGGGCCTGCCCATGACACGCAATGGGCAGTTGCACACATTGGGTGTAACATATACATGTATGATACCAGGCAATGAAGGAACATGTACGCTCGCACATACCGGTATCCGCTATTTCAGATACATGTTAATGGTACCAGGATGTGTACTTCTGTTCATCTTCTTGTAGATGCGTTCATAAAATGTTAAATTTCGTTTGACTTACTTCTTTGCTGAACTACTTGGCCGTGAAAGGTCCAGCTGAGCATAATAACTAGTTAGTATTGTATGGTTTCGCTGAATATTTTGACTGAGAGACTGCAATTTGACTGAAGAATTTGGGGATGGCAACAGATCTAAGGTAAGCCATCAAGATACGTCTATGCTAAGACAGAGACAAGGGAAAAGGAACGACTAATCGACGTTTGTCTTGTGTATGTGAGTGACCTCGTAGGTGCATGGACCTGTCTGTCTTGTTTGTAAGGGTGGCCTCGTGGCTGCATTGAACTCTCTGTCTTGTCTGTAAGGGTGGCCTCATAGCTGCGTGGACCTGTCTGTCTTGTCTGTGAGAATGGCCTCATAGCTGCATGGACCTGTCTGTCTAGTCTGTGAGAGTGGCCTCGTGGCTGCATGGACCTGTCTGTCTAGTCTGTGAGAGTGGCCTCGTGGCTGCATGGACCTGTCTGTCTTCTCTGTGAGAGTGGCCTCGTGGCTGCATGGACCTGTCTGTCTAGTCTGTGAGAGTGGCCTCGTAGGTGCATGGACCTGTCTGTCTAGTCTGTGAGAGTGGCCTCGTGGCTGCATGGACCTGTCTGTCTAGTCTGTGAGAGTGGCCTCGTAGGTGCATGGACCTGTCTGTCTAGTCTGTGAGAGTGGCCTCGTGGCTGCATGGACCTGTCTGTCTAGTCTGTGAGAGTGGCCTCGTAGGTGCATGGACCTGTCTGTCTAGTCTGTGAGAGTGGCCTCGTGGCTGCATGGACCTGTCTGTCTAGTCTGTGAGAGTGGCCTCGTAGGTGCATGGACCTGTCTGTCTAGTCTGTGAGAGTGGCCTCGTGGCTGCATGGACCTGTCTGTCTAGTCTGTGAGAGTGGCCTCGTGGCTGCATGGACCTGTCTGTCTAGTCTGTGAGAGTGGCCTCGTGGCTGCATGGACCTGTCTGTCTAGTCTGTGAGAGCCCTTGTCATAATGTGAACTTGATCACCCAGCAGATCAGATATCTAGCCCCTATCACTATATGCACTAGATCTCCCAGCAAGTCTGGCATCTAGCCCTTGTCAATATGTGAACTTGATCACTCAGCAGGCCGGATATCTAGCCCCTGTCACTATATGCACTAGATCTCCCAGCAAGTCTGGCATCTAGCCCTTGTCAATATGTGAACTTGATCACCCAACAGGCCGGATATCTAGCCCCTGTCACTATATGCACTAGATCTCCCAGCAAGTCTGGCATCCAGCCCTTGTCAATATGTGAACTTGATCACCTAGCAGGCCGGATATCTAGCCCCTGTCACTATATGCACTAGATCTCCCAGCAAGTCTGGCATCTAGCCCTTGTCAATATGTGAACTTGATCACTCAGCAGGCCGGATATCTAGCCCCTGTCACTATATGCACTAGATCTCCCAGCAAGTCTGGCATCTAGCCCTTGTCATTATGTGAAGTTGATCACTCAGCAGGCCGGATATCTAGCCCCTGTCACTATATGCACTAGATCTCCCAGCAAGTCTGGCATCCAGCCCTTGTCAATATGTGAACTTGATCACCTAGCAGGCCGGATATCTAGCCCCTGTCACTATATGCACTAGATCTCCCAGCAAGTCTGGCATCTAGCCCTTGTCAATATGTGAACTTGATCACCCAGCAGGCCAGATATCTATCCCCTGTCACTATATGCACTAGATCTCCCAGCAACCGAGGCATCTATCTCTGGTCAATATGTGGAGTAAATCAGCCTTCTGCCCAGCTGAATATCCCCTGTCAATATGTGCACTATATATCCCAGCAAGTCTGGCATCTAGCATCTGTCTATATGTGCACTAAACATCCCTGCAACGGAGTCATCTAGCCCCTGTCAATACGACTGTGAAGCACTACTTAACTGCGTGGTGCAGTTTCACTCGAGTTTGTGGGACAGTACCATTGAGTAGCATGACACGAGTGTATGAGACAGTGTTATTGTGTAGCATGACACGAGTGTGTGAGACAGTGTTATTGTGTAGCATGACACGAGTGTATGGGACATTGTTATTGTATAGCATGACACGAGTGTGTGGGACATTGTTATTGTATAGTATGACACGAGTGTATGAGACAGTGTTATTGTGTAGCATACACAAATGTGTGAGACAGTGTTATTGTATAGCATGATACGAATGTGTGAGACAGTGTTTTTGTATAGCATGGCACGAGTGTGTGAGACAGTGTTATTGTATAGCATGACACGAGTGTGTGGGACATTGTTATTTCATAGCATGACACGAGTTTGTGGGATATTGTTATTGCATAGCATGCCACGAGTGTGTGGGACAGTCTTATTGCATAGCATGACACGAGTGTGTGAGACAGTGTTATTGTATAGCATGGCACGAGTGTGTGGTACAGTGTTATTGCATAGCATGCCACGAGTTTGTGGAACAGTCTTATTGCATAGCATGACACGGGTGTGTGAGACAGTGTTATTATATAGCATGACACGAGTGTGTGGGACAGTGTTATTGCATAGCATGACACGAGTGTGTGAGACAGTGTTATTGTATAGCATGACACGAGCGTGTGAGACAGTGTTATTGTATAGCATGACACGAGTGTGTGAGACAGTGTTACTGTATAGCATGTCACGAATGTGTGGGACAGTGTTATTGTATAGCATGACACGAGTGTGTGAGACGGTGTTATTGTGTATTATGATACGAGTGTGTGGTACAGTGTTATTGTGTAGCATGACACGAGTGTGTGAGACAGTGTTATTGTATAGCTTGACACGAGTGTGTGGTACAGTGTTATTGCATAGCATGCCACGAGTGTGTGGAACAGTCTTATTGCATAGCATGACACGAGTGTGTGGGGCAGTGTTATTGTATAGCATGGCACGATTGTTTGAGACAGTGTTTTTGTATGGCATGACACGAATGTGTGAGATAGAGTTATTGTGTAGTATGACACGAGTGTGTGAGACCGCGTTATTGTATAGCATGACACGAGTGTGTGGTACAGTGTTATTGTGTAGCATGACACGAGTGTGTGAGACCGCGTTGTTGTATAACATGACACAAGTGTGAGACAGTGTTATTGTGTATTATGACACGAGTGTGTGGTACGGTGTTATTGTGTAGCATGACACGAGTGTGTGAGGCATTGTTATTGTATAGCATGAAACGAGTGTGACAGACGGTGTTATTGTGTATTATGACACGAGTGTTTGGTACAGTGTTATTGTGTAGCATGACACGGGTGTGTGAGACAGTGTTATTGTATAGCATGGCACGAGTGTGTGAGACAGTGTTATTGTGTAGCATGACACGGGTGTGTGAGACAGTGTTATTGTATAGCATGACACGAGTGTGTGGGAC